CGACAGCCCCGAAACCTGAAGGCTCTGGAGGAGATCTGTATGGAGGAGTGGGCCAATATCCCTGCTGCAGTGTGTGCAAACCTGGTCAAGAACTACAGGAAACGTCTGATCTCTGTAATTGCAAACAAAGGTTTCTGTACCAAATATTAAATTTCATTTTTCTGGTGCATCAAATACTTATTTCACACAATAAAATGAAAATTAATTATTTAAAAGTCATACATTGTATCTTTCTGGATTTTTGTTTTAGATTCCATCACTCACAGTTGAAGAATACCTATGATTAAAATTACAGTCATCTACAAGCTTTGCAAGTGGGAAAACCTGAAAAATCAACAGTGTATCAAATACTTGTTCTCCCCACTGTATCAAGGGTGCTTAAATTTTTCCCCAAAATGAAAATCTATCTGAGGGCTGCAGCCAAATACAATAATATAATTCATAAAATATAAATACTCCTTAAGTATAGTCCTTTTATTTTAATTATGTCCTGCTGGAGTGTGACATGATTTGTTTGTGTACAAACTAATACGGTATCAGAATTTTTTATATTTAAACTTCTCATTCAAACACAATTAAATTCACTTTAAGAGGCACAGTTTATATGGATAGTATTTATTTTTACAATAACACTCTGGAATGTAAACAAGCAAAAATGAATAAAAGTAACGACTTTCTACATCTTGCCTTTTTAAAAAATGTAAGGAGTAGAAAGTACAGATCATTGTGTGAAAATGGGAGAAGTAGAAATAAAAAGTAGGCTGAAAAATAATTACTCAAGTAAAGTACAGATACCCAAAAATTTTACTTAAGTACAGCAACAAAGTATTTGTACTTAGTTACTTTACAACTCTGAAAAATTCCATCTTCAGCTAATGCTTCATCCACAGAAGGTGATTTGAGAKTGAAAAACATGTCCAATGCTTCAATTTGGACGCTTGTGTGCTTTGAAGTCAGATGGTCGTCAAAATGCACTTGACATCAGTCGAGCGCCTCCTCGACGCTCCTTATGCGCGTCCACCTTTGCATGTATACCTTTGACACCCCTGAGTGTGAACATAGTATCAGATAGACAAATGTTGCATAAGTTGTGTAAAACACAGTGTGACAGGGCCTTGTGGTGTAAACTCCTGTACAGTTGAAAACAGGCTCTATTCTCTATATGTCTGCATAYCTGCAAAATGTGGGGAAATCCGTGTAATTTACGGACAATCTGTACAAGWTGAGGACGCTGCACAGTCAGCTGCACAAACAGCCACAGAAATAAATCAAATTTGTCATTTTATCACATATATGTCCATATGAGGACAGAGGACGACGATGGGCAGCAGCCATCAACCAGAAGGACTCCAGCTCTCGGTGTATTCATGGGTTTGCAACAAACACTTTTTACAAGGTAAGAATATTAACATTCATAATAGTGCTGGACAATAAATCAGTATCGATAAATGTCAGGGCAGAACATGTTTTGTTAACAGTGATACGACTTTTAACAACATTCGATTCACAGACATCAATCCAGTGCTTATCACTACCACTCACAGCTCCAAAATGAGCACAACAGCTGTGGGTCAGCAAGTGTCCACAGCTGACAAAGAAACAGACGTAAGTACCAGATTCAGTTGTGTGGATGTGGTTTGGGTTTTGAAGGTCCGATACTTCAAAATATCTGTAGCTATACTGGCAAAAACAACTTGGAAATACAGTCACAGTCGCTCTGGTCAATACTCTTTGTGGGGGGCTGTGGCTGAGTGGTTAAGAGAGTCGTCCGCAGAGAGTTGGCAGTTTGRTTCCCCAATAGTCAGTCATATGTTGMTTTGTCCCTTGGCAAGACACTGAACCCCCCACTGCCTCTGATACAGTATGTGTCCCATCAATATATGAATGTGATTTGAAGCACTGATTAGTCTCTATAGATTGATTTGTACATGTTAGCTTTGTAGAGAGATAATAAAACACTGTATGAATGGGAAAATGAGGACACAGACTGTATTGTAAAGCACTTTGAGTATCCTGGTTGGATAGAAAGGCACTATATAAGTACAGATCATTTACTTCCCTCCCTCTCGTTCGACGTCCATCACAGCACCTCTACRTGATTAGGTGATGTAACTRCAAAGGGTTTGTTTTTCTTTGTAACTGACTGAAGTTGTGTTCAAACCAGAGGTGTACGTAAGTCATAGACGTACCTTGGTCTAACCCACCTTGATGGGGTCCAGGTGGGGCCAGGTTAAAGAAATAGTACRCTCATTTTTGAAGGGATATTCTTTCAAACAGTCTTTAATAGAGGTGGTAAATAAATATGGTTCACTTTATGGATCCAGGTTATTTTAGCTACTCTAAAGTGATCCGGTTAAAAAAAACACGATCACTGCCAAAATAATACAATAAAATTTCCATATTTTCTGTGCAAGTTCACCTGCTGTGACAACTCCTACAGAAGAGAGGAGCTAATACTTTTTCCCTGTGCCATTCCACATTATTACAAATAACTTCATTTCTGGACATTTCTGGTTTGATTTATTTGTATGTATGGATCACTTGGGTTGTTACCAACATCTGGTGAAAATTGCATGTCATTAGCACCTCTAGTAATATATTTACTGAGAAAAATGGTGACGTGTTCAATACTTATTTTACCCGCTATATATATATAATGGCATTTTGTAGCTTCCATATAATCCATAAACAAAAATTAAAGACTTAATATCACCATCCACCTTGCATTTTGAACAAAGATMTTGCCCAMCCTGTTAGTGCTCAGAGTGTGTGTTGGGGATGAYACTCAGCTACTACCACTCTGTTTTTAGTTTAGTATCTGTAAACCTAACAGAGTTATAACAATWTCTGTGTTGGCTCATGTCTGCTGGCTGCAGCAACAATCTTGAACTGGGTTGTGTTTGAAAGTTAATCAGCTGCAGAAGTAAATGCAATGACTACATCCTGAAAGTTTCATTAAAATTCATTCAGTGGCTCATGATATTTTGCTAACAGACAGACACAAGCAGTAATATAATCGTTCCACTTTTCATGTAAGTGTGCTATGAAAGAAATGAAAGAAGGAATAAAGTGAATCCCCTGTTCAACAAACGATCTATTATAGAGGGAGGCAAATCACTTATAACATTTATGTCTTATAAGAATAATAAATATTCACAAACTAGTTTTTTCTGCTCCACTTTTAACAGCTCTGTTTTATACTGGATCATCCAGAAGGACGTCCTGAGCCCCATGTTGTGATATGATAGGTGGTGCAGGTTTGGGTGGGTGGGGTCAGTGAGCAGAGCTGATCCAATCTAGCATGAGCAGTCACCACCATCATATCTGATTACTATTAACTTTAGTGTTGCTGCCTCCTAGTGGATTTATAGACCAGAAACTAGATCTGAYATTTGCTTTCACTCATTCAGGAGGGGCTTTATGTTGTTACAGTTTTGAGAGATTTGTAGCTTTTGGTTCAAAGTGGTGTTTTTTGWTTTTCAGAGATTTCCAGGTTTGAGGGAAAAGACAACCTTCTGATGTCGTTTTGTTCAGTCTGCAGGTTTCATCTTCAGCTGAGGAGAGTTTTCACTGTTCAGTCGGACCACTCACTGAAAGCAGGTAGATGTTTTTGCACATGTTTCAATGCTACTGATCTGCTTGTGCTTTTAGAAAGATGCTKGCGTGTTTTTAAAAAGCCTGTTTTGATGCTTCACTTCAGTTAATGAAAGCTAACTGGATGTTTTAACTGCTCATGTTTGCTTTTCCTGTGTAGCTAAATGTAACGTCAGCTCATCCCTTTTAAGAATAACTCATACAAATTTTGTGTAATTGATATCACTGCCACTAGGCCGAGCCATACGTCCGTGATCCAGAACACTGCATTTGGTTCATGTACTGTATGCTGCTGTCCCAGTGAGGTGAAGAAAGCTTTACCTCTAATATTTAGTTTTACTGTATTTTTTACTTGTCTTTCCACAGGTTGTTACCTTTTAAGGGGGTTGTTTTACACTTTGGGAGCCTCAGGTGTAACAGAGATCTGGGGGATGAGAGGCAGTAGAGGTCAGAAGGAGGTGAAAGATACAACAGATGGGTGCTGTGGGAGCTCAGCACAGATGGACAATAGGTATGAAATAAAAAAACAACAGAGAGGTTATTTCACCTAAATACTGTAAGCATGACTCGAATAAGCTTCAGTTTTTCTCCACTGCTGCATGATATATGCAACATAAATRGTGAAAAAAGTCAAAAGAGAGAAAAAATGGTAAAGCTAAGATGAAATTAATCAGGATTTGCAGCTGAAAATTGACCATAGTAAGGCAGAGTTTGAAGAAATTTAAAAAACAATCCAACACACTCCAAATACAGTGGGYTGCAAACGTTTGGGCAGCCATCTTAATTTTCCTGATTTACCTTTATAAATCATTGATTGTTTGTTTGGATTAAAATATCAGTTAAATGTATCATATAGGGGACGAACACAGTGATATTTGAGAAGTGAAATGAAGTTGATATGATTTACAGAAAGTGTGCAATAATTGGTTAAACAAAATTAGGCAGGTGCATAAATTTGGGCACTGTTGTCATTGTATTGATTTCAAAACCGAACTAATTATTGGAACTCAAATTTGGTTTGGTAAGTTCAGTGACCCTTGGCCTCCATACACAGGTGACTCCAATTATGAGAGATTATTTAAGGGAGGCAATTGTAAGTTTTTCTCCTCTTTGMATCTTCTCTGAAGAGTGGCAGCATGRGAGTCTCAAAACAAYTTTCAAATGAGCTGAAAACAAAGATTGTTCACCGTCATGGTTTAGGGGAAGGATACAGAAAGCTATCTCAGAGATTTCAGCTTTCAGTCTCCACTGTGAGAAACATTGTGAGAAAATGGAGGACCACAGGCACAGTTCAAGTCAAGGATCGAAGTGGCAGACCAAGAAAAACCTGGAATAAACAGAAGCGAAGGATGTTGAGAAGAGTCAGAGTCAACCCACAGACCRGCACCAAAGACCTACAACATCATCTTGCTGCTGATGGAGTCACTGTGCATCGTTCAACCATTCAGTGCACTGGATATGCTGTATGGGAGAGTGATGCAGAGAAGAATAAGAAGAAATGAAACCAAGAGGAGAGCATGACAAGACATTTCAGCGTCTAAATGATATTAATATCAGGCGTCTTTTACCTCAACTAGCTTCCAACTTTTCTACATTGGTTYACCATCCAGTCACACTAGATTGACCTCTTGGTGCATGAGTTAAACACATTTAATTAGTAACAACTTTTTGACAACTAATGGAACTTCAGTCTAACTAACAGGAGCAGAAGTTACGCTAGTCAGACAAAGGACTTCATCAGTAGCTCAAATAGTCAAAACTACTTAGCTTTTTAATGGAGTAGGGATCCATCATATTTACCTGCATTTTCCTTTATAAGGTCACAGGAGTGGTGCGTAGCAGTCACTGCGAGGGGCGGGGTAAACCCTGGACATGTTGTAAGTCCATCACAGGGCCACATTCCTCAATAACACCTAGGGACAATATAGAGTTACCAATTAACCTAACAGACATGTTTTTGGTCTGTGGGAGGAAACCAAAGTACCCAGAGAAAACTCATGTATGCACAGAAAGAACATGCAAACTCTACCCAATAAATAAATAAATAAATAAATAAATAAATAAATTCCCAGCTGGGATTTGATTTAGCAACTGTCTTGCTATGGGGCAACAGCTCTACCAACTGAGCTACCATGAACTAGGTAATCAGTGAAAGCAACACATTATTTTGTCAAAATCTACCATCTAAAACAAAAATTCAAGTGTCCAAACTAGTATTAATTTATTGTGTTATGTTCTGTCACTTTTGAGACAACTTTTTTGACAAAAATTATGACTAATTTACTCATATTGGTTATATGTTCAATACTGTTATTAACATTAGAGTATGTATACATCCAAAAGAGGCTTCCAGTAGACTTTTTAAATTCCATCTTCACCTCAGACATCTTTAGTGTTGGACAAACTTTTCATTAGCATGTATTGTCTAAAATGTTATAATGTGACAGGACCTTAAGGTAAAAAAAAAAACCACTAACCAATGCAACAATTAGAAAAGTATATCATAAAATAGTTAGTAGTTAGAACTTGTAGTGTAACAAAATGACCAACTAGTGCAGAGTTTAGGAAAAACAGGCCTGCTGGTAAAGACATTGAATATATGCTCAAATGTCTTCCCATAAGTGAGGTATCCCCTGAGATCCTTTGCCATCTCTCACTCATTTGTCTAGAACCCCTCCTTCCCCCAAGTCACACAAACCCTGTTGGGGGTCAAGGGGGTGGGGTGGGGGGTAGCCTRTCTCAGTCATCAACAGGACAGAGGTGGGGTACACCCTGGGCAGGTCTGCTGTCCATCACAGGGCCAACACAGAGACACTTGAGACAAACAACCCTGAACGCACACACCTGAGGTCAATTTAGAGTTTCTACTTAACCCAACATAGATGTTTTTAGACCTGTAAGAGGAAACCAGAGTACCTGAAGAGACCCCACATGTTCATGGGGGAAAACGTGCAAACTCCACTCAGAAAGAACGGACMCGGAGGCCTTCTTTATGTAAGGTGACAGTGCTGTCCAGATAATTCAGCATTTTTAAAAGTAAAATCCTAACAAATTTAAACATCTATTTAAATTAGCTTGACATAATCAGATTTGCACAAAGAAAAAAAAAGGTTTAATAAATTTAAAGTAATGCTCTTTGAAGAAGATCCTGAACATCAGGAAACATCTAAGAAGGAAATCCCTCTGACAGGAACGGCTGAACAAAGATAGGAAGARTGGCTGAAAAACACCCCAGCCAACACATCATCGGTGAGATGGATGAACTACTTTCCTCCTGGCTGACTTTTGGATTTATTTTAAGTTTGCTGGCAGTGAGGTTTGTTATTAAAAGCGCTGTTTGAGGGATACACGTTTAAAATCCTTGTAGGAAACTTCTAAAGTGACTTTTACAGTAACTCAGCCAGATTATTACTCTAGAACGTTTTTTTTTTTGTTTTGTTTTGTTTTGCTTTAGGACAAAAGAAAGTTGAGAAGTCTTCATCTTGTTGTGGTGGAAAAACTCTAGTAGGTCCAAGAGTGAAAACATGCTACATTCCTAGAAACATAAACTGTATTTTCAGTTCATTGTTGACTTTAACAATTCACTCTGGTGTTGGAATGCTTTAGTTTTTTATGTTACTTTGTAAGCRTTCAAAACAACATCCTGTAATCTAATTTACTGACCCCCTAAACTAATATTTAACATGTTTTCTCACTGACATGGCTGATTTTCAAAGGAGTGCATAACAATATACCATTGTTGTAATTAACTTTGAAACACCAACTGACTGATCATCCATCAGTGTTTTGTACAAAGCTTTGAGTTCAGAGTTGACTGATCGTTTCAGGTCAGTAAATAGATGGAAAGTTTTGTAAAAGAAAAGAGTTATATTTTCAAAAGGGTTTCATTGGTGAATACAGACACAATTCATGTCAGAGATTTGAACTAAAATCCTGAGAAATGATGCAGTAGCTGTTTTGTTAAATCATGAAAATAACACACTCACACAATAATGCAAGATTTCATGCAATCTGTTGGGGATGACTCAGCTACTTCAACTCCCTAAACATTAGCTTAATATTTGTACGATCGACAGAGTTATAGCCRTTTTTCRGTTAGCTGAGGTCAATTAGCTGTRGAGACMATTTTCAGTTGTTTTGACTTTAAAACTTATRTAGATGCAGATCCAATAATCATTTTCCGAGAGTTTCATTAATCTTCATTCAATGGTTCATAAAATAGTTTGCTAACAAACAATCAGACACAAAAGCTATCCTATAGAATAACAGAGTATTAGGGCCACACAACGAGATTTGTTTTTTAAAAAATTACGAGAAAAAGTCATAATATTATGAAATTTAAGTTGTCCTCGATGAATTTTGGGTCACGGTTAGCGTAATATGCTCCCATCCAAATTACATGACWACTCAGTCAATGCAGCCATTAGTTGCAATACATCTTCAGTTCAYCATATAATCATTTTCACGAAATTTCAAAGTCCTGCTGCAGATAATTTGATGCTAGTGTGCTAAAAGACTAAGTATTTTTTTTGTACAAGCTGTAATATTACAACTTTATTCTCATAATATTATGACTTTATTTTCATAATATTACGACTTTATTCTCATGCAACTTTTTTCTTGTAATATTATGATTTTAAAGTTGTAATATTATGACTTTATTCTCGTAGTTTTGAAAAAAATCCTTCTTGTGTGGCCCTAATACTCTGCCGTACATTTGCTATCCTGTATTGTAAAATTATTTTTGCCTTATTTTAAACTTACAATATTTATTTATATGATCATCAATTTTTGAGCTTAAAAAGCATTAAAAATCTTACCATCAATAAGCCATGTATAATACTATCCCATGAATAAATACAGTAGTTATTTAAAAAAAATCTTTTCAAAAACATGTTTATATTTTATTCAGGCAGCAGGTGACCCAAACTATTCTATTCTATTCTATTCTATTCTATTCTATTCTATTCTATTCTATTCTATTCTATTCTAACTCAAACAAGTTAAATACATTTTCTCGTCGTGCATCATTCAGATTCCTCTGGGCAGGACGTTATGGCAGCAGGGGGCGCTGTTCTCTGTAACAGAGGGGGGTGYATGTGGCCTTAAGTGCACTCCTCTACAAAACAAAATGCCATAAAGGGAAGGAGCATAATGAGAAAGGAATTTGATAATCCACACACTCTGCACATGTGCTAAATTAATATGCCACAGATTTATGGTTGTTGTGACAAAAATAAAAGCTAAACAAAACCAGATGTGGAGCAAAAAACACCTCTGACTAATGTCACATCTGCAGGCTCATATTTTTACTGTGCTGTCAGTTATTTTGTCAACAGGGAAAGGACCACCACAAACAGGCGGGACGTGCTGCTCTCTTTCCATAACTCATCTCATGCGAATTTGTCTCGGCTTGCGGGAGAGRAAAAAAAAGGAGGGTGTGACTCTAACAGGGAGGGAAGGATAGAAAAAAAGGAGTGTAAAAAGTTCTCATCTTGTGATTTCTGTTTTCTTTTTTAAGCTGCACAGTGATTACATCTTTGAGGATCTTGGTAACATTTTCCAGCGCCTCTCAGGTTCCTTTCTTTTTCTTTCTTTTTCTTTTTTTTTTGTTTCCATCCAGCAGCATACTTTCCTCTGCCTATTTTTCCCCCCCTGTTTCAGTGTGACGTGTGAGGAAAAGCTCCTGCCCTTGTTTCTTGCAGTGAAGTTTACAGAGTGCCAGGAGAAAGACCTGTGGAAGTGGTGCACGTTGACTCTGACCTGTTGTGGAGCAAGATGGATTTGAAGGTGTGAACGAGAGCATTTCTGGCTTTTCTCCTGTACAGGAGACGAGGAGGGGAGGACAAACAGGGAGAGGCTGAAAGAAAGTCACTGTCGCCCATGGACAAAGGTGAATGAGAAGGTCCAGTTGAGAAGTCTGTTTGACAGAAGAGGAGGAGGAGCACCAGCCTGAGGGGAAACCACCACAAACTCTCCTAACAAGTCAGGATGAGGTACCAAGGCAGGGTAAGATCTGTCCCATGATGCTCTTTGTTGTTATAGGCTTATCCTCTGTAAAGAATTATACATTTCCTGCTTTGTCTGCACTTAGAAAACAAAGTCAAACATCAAAGAAGCATAACAGAACGAGTCACCTTTTTCCCCCTGTTTATGATTTGGTTTTGGTTTTGATGCTATCCATGGAGGATAAATGTGGGAGTTTTCCACCTCGTTGTGTACTGTTAGTGGTGGGGGAGCCAGCTGCAGTAGCACACCAGCCTGGGACAGAGTGGACGGGCATGCCTTATAAGGAATGCAATCTGTATGTAGCTGGCCCAGCGGAGCTTAGTCACGGAGCCTCAAACCAAGTCTTTAACCTCCTTGCTGGCTGTCACTGCAGCTGCACCTACGAACCTGCAAAACTCTGCTCCTCGGAGTCAAATCCCAAATTTAGCTCCCAGTCCGTCAGAGAGAACTCGTTCTGCTGCAGCAAGTAGCCCGAGGTCTGATTTATGACAGCAAAGCTGCAGGGATCACATTGTTTTCTCTTCACATCTCAGGTGTGTCGTGAGTAAAGTCTCCAAAGAGAAAATAACTTTCACTTTCTGACAAGAGTCTCCATCAACAAAATGTGGACCAGAACGTTTTAGAGCAAAGCTGAACAAGGAGTGACGTTCTTTTGTCAGTCTGTTAGTAAAATCTCTGAGGAACAACTGGACGGATTTGAATTAAACTAATAAAGAAAACACTGAATGTACATCTGATTAAAGTTTGACCTTTTCAAGATGGCTGCCACAACTAAATGACATTAGCAAACACAAAAATGGCTACATTTTAGCTCATTTTAGAGTTATTGAGCCAACATTCAGAACAGTAGTAGCTCATATGATTTTACGTCTTTTAGCAAAATAGCTCTTAAACTACTGGATGGATTTTAATGAAACTCTCAGAAAGTAATCATAGATGCGCATCTACAACTGACTTACTTTAGAAATGGCTATAACCAAGTCATTTTTACAGATAAGCTTAAGTTGCAGAGCTGTGGTAGTAGCTGAGAGTCACTTTTGACACCCACTCTGAGCGAACACATCTCTCACATGACATCATACACAATATAATTTAGATCGAAATGGCTACAAATTTGACCTTAAATTGCATAATTTCGTCAAGGAATGCTARGCCGTTATTTGGACATTAATTTTAACAATAAGTGTTGTTTTATTATTTGCACTTTTGCTGTCATAAATAATTGGCTTTCTACAGGGTTTGTTATTAAGTACAAACAGAGTGGTGATTTTAACAGTTAAATCATTTGCAACATACTCCCTATTCAAATGTAAAACAGCCAAAAAAGCAAATTTTACAACAGTGACTGATACCACTGCTGTTAAAATATCATCTCCATAATGCAAATATTTTGAAGTTCCTGGCTGCTGGTTTGAATGTATTAATTTAGCCTTAGAGCTACTGCTGCAGCATTTTTGTGTTTTTGTACACATTAGTTTGGGAGGTTGAGCTCTTGTTACGCTGGAGGCAGAGAGTCTTTTTTGGTTGAAAAGAGCCTCTAAACTCATTCAGAATTTATGATCCAAATGTAAGAAGAATAATACCGTTGTAGATTTCTGCATTTAACCTAGATTGGCAGGAAAAATATGTGACATGTAGCCTTTGGATATCTGGATTTCAAGCTCTTGTCACATCCTGCTGAGTTAGTCTGATTGCTTTAGACACTCAGCTGCATGTCCTCTTTCATTGTCACCAAACCATTTACATGCCAGTCAACAAAACAACAGGCTGGGTAGGCGGAGTTTGCAACTGAAGTGTTGTACAAGCTGAAATATACATACACAGCTCAGATCCAGCAGTCTATATCTCTCTAATCATATGGCTGATATAAACAAAGATGCTTCAAAGCCAAGATCCAAATGTAACGATGGAAGATGGATACTTTAATAACCAGCAGGTGRTTTCTGGTGTTTTTATTGCACATTTATCYTGGTAACTGTTAATGAAAACTACCTTTGATTGCCCTGACTGGTTGTTCATGCAGAGTTGTAGTTGACCAACCTTCTCCCACTGATAAATGATTTTCCCTTGATGTAAGAGGGAATAAAGCCACTGTCTGAGTTGGAACATGTTCAAAATTCAAACAACAAGACATCGAGCCTCTACGATTTACACGAGAAAATTAAGAACTCCCACAAACGTTGCAAGACATGTCGCAAAATATTGTTTGTCAACAGCCACAGCCCAGCAAGTGACTGGTTACTGACTACATCAGATTCCTGTATTGAACTGTGTGTAATTTGTTAAAAAAATTGTATTTTGGTGACCAGATGGAAAGAGCTTCTGGGCCATATGTGGCCCAAGGGCCTCCTGTTGATGGTCACTGCTTATACGTTTTTATTTCTTCCTTGCAAGTCAAGTGTTGTTTTGAATGAGGCCCTTTATTTTGGTCCAGTGATGCAATTCCTGGAGCCAAAGTAATTTAGTTAAACTTATGACTCATAACTAAAAGAGGCTTAAGAAAGCAACATGTTGTTCTGTTTTAGAGTTGCTGCAGAAACAGGGATTTTGATGTTCCAGGATTCAYCAGTGAACTAAACCGTTGGGCTTTATGTACACTTCAGCAGCGTGTCTGCTTTACACTCTGCATTTATTTATAAGATCTAAAGGAGAAAGGCATTTTCCATAACAGTGTTCATAACCACTCATCATACACTGAACTTATTAAACCAAAATACACCAAGTTCAAACGTTCTTGAGCCCATCAGCAACATTTGAACAATAACGATAATGATAACATTTTTTCTTTGTGTGTGTGTGTGTGTGTGTGTGTGTGTGTGTGTGTGTGTGTGTGTG